TTCTCTCTCTCTCTCTCTCTCTCTCTCTCTCTCTCTCTCTCTCTCTCTCTCTCTCTCTCTCTCTCTCTCTCTCCCTCTCACACACTCTGCCATGGAGGTCCTCACAGCTGGGCACATGTGGAGGGGTGGTGCACTGTGTGGCAAGGGGGCCAGTTTAACGTTCAAATTGAATTGGCCTCGTTGGACTTATTCCCCCTTTTTCCAAAAAATTATCCCTGCTCCTGAACCACTCTTCCCCCACTTGTCCCCTTACTTTCGAACGTCTGCACCCTCACCGCTCCCCCTATTTTCGTACCTCTCCCCCGCTCTGCCCCTTCTTCCAAACCATTCTCCCCCCATTTCTCTTCTGGACCAGGCCCTGCACTTCTTTCCCTACTTGCAAACCTCTCTGCCCCTGCTTCTGAACCTCTCCCCCAACCTTGCGAACCTCTTTTCCCTCACTTCTACCCCTACGTCCAGACCTCTCTCCCCTCTCTCTCCTATTCCCTTGGTATTCCTCACTACCTTTCCCTCTCCCGGTGCTTTTCTCCCGACGTTTCGAACTTCTCCGTCCCCTTGTGCTATGTAGAGTGCCATCACAGTTGTCATTCTGAGTCATGTATTACTGGTAACATTAGGTGATGTAACTAACAATAAACAGGGGTAGCATTCCGTAGCAAAGCGATTCATATACGTAAATCCCTCTTGGCCTACAGCTCGCAGGGCGATTCTCTATGACGATATATGTAGATAAATTCATCTGGGCACACCTGCACAGAGTGATCGAGACTGATCCTGACAGATCCGGACATGTCCAGATGGTCCATTTCCATCCAGATGTCTGACTGTCCGGATGGCATCCGAATTGCCCAGCTAGCTGGGTCCGAATTGGCCTGTTGTGCAGGTCCGTGGTAGCTATGCTGAAAGCCTGCAGATGATGTAAGCAGAAACAGTTTTGCTATGCCAATTCTGGAAGATACGATTTTGATAACTTTTGGATGTTTTTGAAAGATGTAATCTTCAAGATATGATTTTGAAAGATCCAACAATCGTGATAGATCGAACAATTACACCGCCAGTACTTCCAAGAAGTTTGGCCATGCTTGCACCAGCCTTTGCTACTGTGCCGAGGCGGTTTGTCATGGGAGAATCTGTCTGCGTGCCAGGCCCATACACCCAGCGCAATGTCACAACATGTACGACTGAACTTCCTGGAAGTACTGGCGGTTTAAGATATCGTCATGTCATGTACGACTGAACTTCCTGGAAGTACTGGCGGTTTAAGATATCGTCATGTCATGCCGTTGTCCTATCTCTCACGATTGTTGGATATTCCATGGTGATTGGACGTTTCATGGGCCATGGGCATTGTGCTTCTTCTGTGAAGAACTCCCTCCTACTTATTTTGTCCATGAGGGTTTTCCATATAGAATCGACGCATGTCTTGTCGTTGAACATCAATCTCTTCTGTTTGTCTGACTCCCATTCGTCCGCTGTTCGTGCTTGTGCTTGTGTTCTATGTCAGGTGGTTACAGTACGGTGTACAAGGTGGTGAGTGACGGGAAGATCTTCGCTTTGAAATGTAAGTGTGCATATATATGTTGCAAGGGGGAGCTAAAAGAACAACGATCAAAATAATCGTTTTAGTGTGCTCTTCATGCTGCTTGTCTTCTGTATTTTAATCGCTTGTTTCACAAAGTGCGCTCTTTTAGTTGATAGATATGCGACGAGATATGTTGTTGCATCGTCAAAACCTATGCGGACTCTGCCTTCGTTTGTGAAGTGATTGCAGTGCTTACATCCCCCAAATTGTCTTCGTAAGCGGATTAATAATCTTATCGTAGGTTCCATGGGATCCATAGGATCGACATATTCCTTGTAGGTGGTTGATGGTGGAGTCCAAGTGAGGCTTCTGAAACAGAGAGAACAGAGCGGAGGTTCCCTGGGATCCACAGGATCGACATATTCCCTGTACGTGGTCGATGGTGGTGTCCAAGTGAGGCCTGGTGTGAAACCACCACGGCTGCACACCTTCACCGAAAGTCGTGGCCGAATACACGGAGGCTGTGGTTTTGCTGTACTGCCCTGCCTGTGGGCGGTCCATTGCGTAATGGATGGGGAAGATTTCTGCTGGTGGAAATCTAGAGCACAGCGGTGGTGGTAAGTAGCCGCCTGTACAAGAACCATGTATTGTTATGGGCCTTTGAGTGCAGGGTTGTGGTTGGTGGTTGTGTTTTGTATCTGTGGCTTGAGCAACGCTGATGGCCCTTGTTTACCGGTTTGGACTGTTTTGTGCCTGACTGGATTTTTTTATTTTTATTTCCCCCCCCAAAATAACAGGTCCTGCCTGAATTCTAATAGTTCCATTGGATAATGCTTCTGTCGTTAGTGCAGGTCTCAAGGAGAACAGCAAGAGCTTTCAAGTTTCAACAGAGCGGGACATGCTCCAGAGATTTGGGTATAGTACGACCTATCCTTTGCAGACTCTATCCATCACTGACGCTCTGTGTTTTTTCCAACATGAGTCCATCCTCTTTTTTCGAATTTGTGATTGCCTCTTGGTCTTTGCTTCATCCAGTTCTGGCGAGTGTGTCACTGCGGTACCTGTTCCACCCTCAAGTCACAAAAATTGCCGTGATACCCACTGAGCGGTTCCCCTTGTTATGGCCCGTCATTGACGCTCTGTGTTTTTTCCAATCTGAGTCCATCCTCTTTTTCGAATTTTTTATTGCCTCTTGGTCTTTGCTTCATCCAGTTCTGGTGAGTGTGTCACTGCGGTACCTGTTCCACCCTCAAGTCACAAAAATTGCCGTGATACCCACTGAGCGGTTCCCCTTGTTACGGCCCGGGGAATGTGCAACATCATTGATTGCTTCCACAAGCAAAGATTGGCTACCAGATCTGCGCGTAAAATCGAAGTGGTAGGCACTTTTGTCATCTTTGATATATATATATCGTCACAAACAGAACTGCCCGGTAAACCGTAGGCAGAGAGAGAGAAGAGGACAACAAACGAGGGGCTGTGACAAACTGTTTCGTCGGAGTTTCACCGACTCATCGATATATATATATGTATATATATTTGTGACGATATATATATGTTCGACTATCTGTAGAGTTTTCCATTTGGTGTGGGTGAGTGATAGTCTGTTTTGACTTTTGCCACAGGTACCTTGAGGGCAGTGGTTGGTGCCCACCTCAGGGTATCAGTTGTCGGGCAGTCGTTGATGCTTAACCACAGCTGGGGTTACGGTGGATTATCACTTACAGTGTAATCAGTTAGGGGATTCTGCAGACTGTTGAGGGTTCAGCCTCCTGATGAGTCGGTGAAACTCCGACGAAACAGTTTGCCACAGCCCCTCGTTTGTTGTCCTCTTCTCCCTCTCTGCCTACGGTTTACCGGGCAGCTCTGTTTGACTATATATATATCTATTTTAAACCCAATGAGAGGCAAACCTGCTTCAAATGTTCTGTGCATGCATCCGTACGAGTTCTCAAATATGTGCACACTTGCCGAATTGCTGCGATGCCCTTGAAGCTTGGCTCCACCCTTTCAGGTCTTTTCTTAAAACTGCACGCTGTGCAGTTTTGATGGGGCGAGGCTTCAGCATTCTGTGTTCTGGAAAGGGTGGGAATGGGCAGTATGTTTAGGAGTGATAGAAGGGGGGAATACGTGGAAAGAGCAGGGGCTGGAGTGTGGTCCCGAGGGTGACCAACCCTGTACATCGGTGTAGCCGACCCAATATTGCACCTGGCAAGTTCTATTGGATGGACAGACTGCTCGCATCACCTGCAGCAGAAACACCTCTTGGAGTTGTTGTCTTAGATCGCGGAGATGCTGTGAATTTAAGAAATATTAGTGCGATCCGAGTTTGGTGGGATAGAAGAGTGGGTGATGTCCCTTGTTTGGGACACTCGTGGCCTGGAGCATGTATGCACCGCTTCGGTATTGGCCACAGTGGCTTTCTGACTTCTGGCAGCGATGGGGAGGCTACTTTCGTCACCCAAACATAACATAACGCCCAACCGTTATAGCTGTATTTGGGGCAATTTTCAGTCCAGATGCAGCCATAATGACAGGGCGTTCGAATCTGACTGACCCTAGCTAGTCTCACCTGACCTGACCGAGCGCCGATCGATTCGTACTACCGTCTTCACCTGAATAGAACGCCCGGTCATTATAGCTGTATTTGACCCAATTTTCAGCCCAGATACGGCGATAAATACCGGGCGTTCTATTCGGGTGAAGATGGTAGTTAGCCATGAATGGTGTAATTGCCTTGAGTGAGGATGCCGCCCGGGTAAACTGGGCGGGCCAAAAAACCGCCCAGAAATATATATATATATATGTTGTCCTCTTCTCTCTCTCTGCCTACGGTTTACCGGGCAGTTCTGTTTGTGACGATATATGCTACGACTTCGCTAGCTTCCTGCTACGGTTTTTTCCGGTCAGGTCGAGCGGCAGTGGTCGGGGTCGTTACTAGGCGGCCATGCTGTGCCTCTAGTGCCAGCGGCGTGTCTGGA